ATTAGCGGGGGCGATTCATTGGCGATTCCTTCGGGGCGGTGAGTGTGGCAACCTATCGGTAGTCATATCAATAACCCTTGCAAATTGCCATAATGTATGACTCTGATTTTCCGGGGTCTGTTTGGTCTGCACCAGTTAACAGGCCATAAGTCATTGCTTTATGACCCTCAACCCAATTCCCGTTTGTCTCGGTGGCCACTTAACAGCTCGTAAAGCCAAAGGCCGTCACACTTAATAAATATTGTAATTGTAAAATAAAATGCATAAAAATACAAGCCAGAAATGTGAGAGTTGAATGCCTAATGCCCTAACTGTAGAGTTTTTGGAATAAATATCAGTAAATGTGTGAGGCAACAAATGACTTTAAAATGCTAACTAAAAATATTTGGTATTGTATTAAATCAAACTCTTAAAGTGTATTTTAAATAACTAAAGATTTTTCGTATTTTCTCATACATGCCATGACTAATTTAAGCTGCAACATTCTCAAAGTGAAAGTGTGTATGCCCATGGATATGGAAAAATTCAGGAATATTGCCCAAGGAAGAAACAAATATTTGTTGATTTGCTGGTAACCAAGTCAGACAAAAGGGGCCAGGGAAAAAACTTTTTATTGCCCGACCGCCCCCGAAAATTTTGAGAACCCCATCTTATCAATCGCCGATAAGGGAGGGGGGGGGACAGGAAACATTTTGTGGGGCAGGAATTTCATATTTTTTTTTGTTGTATTTTATTCCCCCTATTTTATTTTTTTTTTGATTATTGCTCGATATTTGTCAGTCAGTGAAACTTTGGAGCGTTATTTAGCCATAAGAAATCAAACTTTCTTAATTAACTTTCTTGGGCGGCGTCGACGGCAGATTGGAGGGGGTGGTGGAGGGGTGCGGTGGGCAGAAGAGAGTAGGGATAGAGCAAGAATATTAAAAAAGGATGAGAAAACTCCAACGGGGATGGAGGAAGTTGCTGGGATTTATTTTTTTTGGTGAAAAATGTGTGTTGTTAAGCTACAAAGGGAAAATGTCATAGGGAAGAGGGGTTAAGTCAGAGGTGAACACACATACCTCTCGCTCTCGCACACCTCTGCCCTCCCTTTCTATCCTGCGCCCTTTGTGCACTCTTTTTTTTCTCACTGCATGGAGTTGTGTCAGAAGTTTTATTGATTTTCAAGTTTGAATGATAACTTTACAAGAGTTTTTCGCTTTTTCTGTGACTGTACAAAATTGTTAAATTGCTTGTTATTGACAAATACAAGTGCAGATCTGCGTGGGCGAACGAGATGGTATGAGTTGTACAAGAAGGAGATGGGTAGAGTGTGTGCCGTACAAAGAGAGTGAGAGAGAGAGAGCTGTATGTATGTCCCGAGTGATTCCCGTGCTCTGCCGACTGGCAAAGTTATCAATTCCAATTATGTAACCAAAAATAATTTGAAAACTTTGCAGCACTTTTGCAAAAGACCAACATACACTCACACACACCCGTGCTCCTACCCACACACAGGCACACACACACTTGATGGCTTCATAAGTTCATACTTGTTACCTGTGACTTGTCAAGTATTTGACTTTATCTCTGGACCCGAGCTGCAGATTTTGTTCAGTAGAGTTCAGTTCAGTTGAGTTGAGACGAGAGTTCTTGCTTTTCCTATTTTTGTTGGGCTTTCCCCCATTTTTGCCACCGAGCATGGCTTAAGTTTTTGACCAAGTTCTGCGCTGCGATTTGGGCTGATTTGAGTTTCAACAAGGGGTGGCAGCTAAATCGCCACCTCTATTTTGCCCTTATCAAATTAGTGGTTTTTAATAATTTTATTCACAATTTTGATTCACATTTTGCGGTTTTGGGTCGCCAACCCCACATTCCGTACCTCATAACTTGGCTAAAAATAGTCGGATAATGGAATTTTGTACCTTGCGCCACTCAGGGAGACTCCCTCAAACTTTTGGCGTCCAAAGTGGAGCATACAATTTTTCGTCATTTTTTGAACATTTTGCAAGGGTTACCATCATTAAAATTTACGAAAAAAGGGTAAAAATTGGGAAGCTTAAATTTGAATGCAGATTTTTTAAGCATACTTTCACGAGTCTTTTGCGGTATGCCACTCCAAAATCGGAATCCATTTGGCCAAGTTATGGCGTCTGGGATTTCAGGCTTAAGTGGTCATTGTAAATGGTCCGAACGAAAAGTTATAAATTTCATTTCCTTTGCTATTATTTAAAATATATTTTCTTGATAATCATTAGGAAAATGGATGAGGACCAACAAGGACAAATACTGAACATATTTTCCGAGGAGATGCTTGAACTTCTCAGGAAATGTTTAGTAAAAGTAACGACCCATATTTGATTAAAATGATATCTGACTGAATCTTTGATATTCCGTGAAAATACCTGGACGAAGAACTTGAGGCGAATTCCTGTACGCTTAAAGCGCCTGGCAACTTTTCTGCAAGTTTTCCGTATTTTCATGGCAGTCAATTTGCTAAATCAAGAATGCGACAGCCGCACAAAAGAAAAGGCGGGGAGAAAATAAATATGCCAGCCTTCAGCTTTTCCGCACTCCTTGGGAAATGGACGCCAAAAGGAGCTGGAACGGAACCCGATGCGCCCTGAATTTTCCCAACTGTCCCTTTTCATTTTGCCATTCTTTTTTTATATATTTCACTTATTGATGAGTGGAAATGCTGTTGACATTATTTGTGTGGTCGCCGCCAGTTGGTCGCCCAATGCAATGCAAATTTGTTGACACAGACTCAAGCTGAGGCCACAAGAAGCCTGCACTTTCAGGGGATATAATATGTATGTATGTATATGTATGTAGCTATCCGGCATCCCTATGAAGTATATATATTTTATATATGTATATATATTACATTTACTGTATATGGAAGCTCATCGCCGATCCCCTTGCCAATCGTTTGCCCCTGAGAATCAAAGTCTCGATTCTCGTAAAAATGATTCATGATATCGCATTATTTCCGTATCATTTGTAATTTCCAGTTTCCTGCTTATTTTCACCAGCCACACACACACACAGACAGCGCCAGAAAGAGAGGGAGAGAGCTGTGGGGAGGGAGAGAGAGGGAAGACAGAACTGTTGCAATTACTATCTATCTGGTATTTTATAACTTTTGTGCTCTTCCTGCTGCCTTACCTCAACTCCTCAACTCCTCGCCCCCATCTCCTCCATCTTCTTCTGCTGATTACAGCAGCCAAGTCACAGACACACAGATAGCAGCACACGCACACAGAGGCAGCCAGATACTTCAGGGAGGAGCGTTGAATAAAAGACAAGGGGGATTCGCTATACTATCCTGAAAATAGTAGATTTTTGTCATTACTTTAAGTTAAGAAGTGGTACTTACTTAGTATTTCATGTCATTCGGTTGGCATTCAGTTTGGGGCGCCGAAACCCCAAAACCCCCTGACTACGCCCCTGCACGCATTTAGAGAAGAAGTCAGAGAGCCACAGTTACAGGCGTTGCCGCCGCGTCATCAAGGTCCTGATTCCTATTCCGCTTCTCCCCTGCCCTCTTCCCACGCATCTCTGCCACTGTCCTTGTACATATCCTTTGTTCTGGATCGCTCAGCCCACAGACAGAAATACATACAGATACAGATACAGACACTCAACACTTTTTCTTGTAGTTTTTGATGAACATTTAATTGAATTCTCTCACAACACCGCGCTTTGTCTTTCGCCCACACCATTGACGTATCTGCCATCCGATATATAGATATATAGGAGGTACAGATGTATCTGCACCTCCCTACAGCAGATACATCCCACAGAGCGCACAAGAAGTTATGCTTTCACTGCTTTCTTCCTTCCCCTTCTTGGCTGGATATGTGTGTACGTATGGCATCTAATTAAAATTGCAATCGGAATTTTCCAGCTCGAGCTGCGACAAAAAGCAAATTTATCCATAAGCCAGCGGCAAGCTACTTGCAGATATACGAGTATGTGTGTGTGTATCTATAGAAACTGGATGCTGAAGGCAACTTATCGGATGTCCATGGCACAAAAAGTGGCTCTGTTTTTCGTGGCGATTCATTCGCAGCAGTTTATCAAAGGATTTTAGTTTTGGATTACCTATGCTAACACCGCTGGGGATTTCCTTTTCTCAGCATTGGAAGAGTTAAAAAAAGATTAGCAGATATTTATTTTCATACATTTTTATAGACTTGCCAATGCTTGTAAATCGGAAATACCTTAAGTTCCATTGAAAATATATAAAATGAAGCTGCCATTCAATATCGATATGTGCTTAATGCCCCACATTCAGGCCACCGGCTCCTCCACTTTTCAGCATTCCCATTATGCAAACCGAGAGACTCTGGCTAATTGAACCAGTTCCGCCGTGGCTGCATCTATGCAAATAACCCCAGTTGCCCTCTTGTCGTCTCAATGGAGGTCCTGCCACCAGGACCCTTCCCCATTTCCGTGGAGGCTGCAATGGGGGGCCAGGACATCAACACCAACACCAACACCAACACGAACACGAACACGAAGAAAAACAAAAACAGAAACAACGACGCTGACGACGGCAATATCAAACAGTAAATAGATAAAAACAACATGACTTAATGAGTGGTATTTATTTTTATGCTAATTACTTTCGAATAAGCAGGGGGTCCTGTGCACTGCAGTTGCCTTAATGAGTGGGGCAATAATTGTTGTTGTCGTCGCTGAATCCTGCTCCTTGAGGACTCCTGTGCCTGTGCCTGTGCCTCGCCAGTGTTTGCATAAAGTAAATGCCATTATACAAGCAAGTTGCGCTGTAAATTCACTTCAAATGTACAAAAGCACTCGCCCTGAAAGCCGTAAAGTATGCGATATGACAGTGCATAAAGGATGCGAGCGCTGCTGGATAGGTTCCCACTTGGCGGCAGAGCTCCTCAGCCCTGCCTCATCCCAGCACATGATGTTCCCTCGTTTTTATTGTATTTATTACACAATTCTTCGCTTTAATAAGTACAAATGCACAGTAAATAAACGAAAACTGCCTATTCCACTGATACATTCAGGATCACCTCGAGCTGGAGATGGTATTCTGCGCCACACATCTCCTGCAGCTCCTGCTGCGTTAGCCACATGGAATGCCGGTCCTTGGGCAGCTGCTTGCCACCGATTTCGGGGTAAACTCTGCCCGAATTGGCCACCCAGCCCAGGGCGCTCCGGCCATCCGACAAACTGCGATTGAACACGGTCATGCAAACGCGGAGTGGTCGGATGCAGGGCGCACTTTGCGTCCAAATTGTGTACATGTCCAAGTTCCTGAGGTCTGCCCTTTCGTGCTCGCTTATATCACGCTGCTTTAGATCGCAGAACTTCTCGCTATTGCGAGCTCGATGGAGGTTCTTGCTGAATTTGGGATAGGTATCACTTGTGAAGTCCAGATGCCTCACCCATTCAACCCTGCTTTTGGCACAACCACTGCTGGATTCACTACTGCTGGATTCCTGGTAAAGCGACTGTGTATCCTCGTCCGACTCCACATTCCTGTCGGGCAATACCCAGTCCAGGAAACCAGTCTTCCTCACCAGCACCATGACCGGCAGATAGTCCTGCAGCGGCTCCAGCTCCGAATGGCGTGGCAATCGATTCCGGTGACTGAATTCCCGTGCTCCGGGCAATGGCTCCTGCCCTCCACGCTCGCCGCCGTAGAGAAGCACTCCCAGACATATGGTCTGCATGGCCAGCAGTTGCGAAGGATCAAAGACCAGGGTGCAGCGTTCTCCGTCGAAGGCCAGTTGCAAGTGCTTCCTCACGTGCGATCGCAAGTGTTGGGATGTCAAATGGTACAGTAAGTCCTGCTTGCAAATGGTGGCAGGACAGGTTTCCAGGGGACATTGTATTGGAATGCGACTTAGACGGTTCAAGGTTAGTTTCGGCTTTGTATCGCATTCGGTTTCGGTTTTGGTTTCGGTTTTGGAGAGATCAATTAGCCTGAGTGGCTTGTTTCTGTTCATATTTTCGAATTGTGTTGCTGTTTTAAGTAGATTTATGTCAGTAAACATACATGTAGGGTAATCAAATTGTGTGAAACTGCGCAAACAGCCTGCTGTTTATAGAACATCAGTGCTTTTGTAGATGTAATTGCGCTGCCGCGTGAAATTAGCCTTTTTCATTATGCGAGTATTGATAAATTCAATTTAACTTCTGTAATGAATTAACCTTATGCTTGCCACCTCTTTTTTATTAAATCATGTGCTCTTTTGCTCTGTTGAATGAGTTTATCAACGGTTTATGATTTTCGTAATTAAATCTGTAAAAACGACAATGTCACTTCTGACAACTTGCTGCATTTCATTTACATAGCATATACATATTATCACAATTAAAATTCCCTCTTGAATTAAAACACATGCTCATTTTCTTGCCACAAACGAAGGACTACTTTAAATCTATATTATGCGTATGGCACCTATGCAACCTAAACTAAACTAAACAAAAATGCAAAACTTTTAAAGCTGGCTTATCCATCCTGTCCTTGATTCCAAGGAATGCTTATAACTGGTTCTTTCGCTTTCGACCCGGTCGCACGGCATACAGATCGTCGGAGATCAGGGATCTGCCAGCTCTGGAGGCGGCCAGAAGTCTTCGTTCGTGCACCTTACGATGCTTGGTGAGGTGATCCGACCTGGCGAAGCACTTGGAGCAGTAGTCGCACTTGTAGGGCTTCACGCCCGAATGGGAGCGCTTGTGGCGGGCCAGTTCGTCGGATCGGGAGAACCGCCAGACGCAATCTGGCCAGCTGCAGACGTAGGGCTTCTCGCCCAGATGCCTCCTCAAATGCGCCTTTAGATGCGCGGGCTTGGCGTAGATCTTTTCGCAGTTCCCGAAGGTGCACAGGTAGCCCCGTTCGCCGGCGGCGTTTTCACTCATCTGGAGGGCAGGTGGTGGTGCAGCAGCCGCTGCATCCGCATTCGCATCCGCAGGACTGGCGGGATCACAGCTGCCGGGCGATGAGGTCGACCGATCGGGATCGAAAATCTCTGAGGCTGGCGGACCCGACAGCCGCAGATTGCTGTTGCTCTCCTCCAGAAAGTCGGCGCAGTTATCCGTGCACAGGGGAGTGCGTTCCGGCAGAAAGTCCACCAGCTCCGGAATCTCCACATAGTTATCCAATAGCCGCTGCTCCCAATCGCTCAAGTCCGGCGGACAAACGGTCAGGTCATTGAAGTCGATGAACAGTGAGGGATCCTCCCCAAAAGGCAGGCCCATCTGGACATTCCCACTATTGTTACTATTATTATTATTGTTATTGCTGTCTAAGGTGATGATGCCATAGTAATCCGCCTCCTCGAACTGCAGCTGATTGTAGTTGCCGCCGGCCAAGTTACTGTCCACGTAGGAGCTCTCGAAGTCCCCAACACTGACTATATTCAGCAGCGCATCGCCGCCGGCCAGTGGCTCCTCTTCCAAGTCGCTGTAAAGCTGCTGGAATCCACCCGTCGCAAAGAAGTCCATGTTCGCAAATGAGCGGACTCCGGCCGAGTGTCCAAATATTTATAATATCCACGGACAATCCGGGTGAGTGACAGCAGTCAGAAGCGCTGATGAGAGCCATTGAACCGGCCGGGCATCGCATGGATTATACCCTGTGCTCCATCCCCTTATCCATCTACAATTGTATTGCTATATCATGGAAAGATATATTCATTTACAATGATGTGGCATACCCTGCGATCCCAGCAGAGCAATGGGCAGCAAGAGATGCACTCACTGCGATCGTGGCTCGATTGCTTCCAGTGATTCGTGGCCAGGATCCCTGGGGAATAATTAGCCAGCGGGCAACGTATCTAACGCGCTGCCGGCTTCATTAGTCCGAGACCGAGATAAAGATACATTTATAGTACGTGCGTATGTCTGTGCGACCCATACACATTCGTCCGCACCAGATGTTGCCATTGATCGGCGACACATGTGCCGGGGTTTTTGGTGGCCCGGTCCGGGTTCGGGTCCGGGTCCGGGTCCGAGTGCCAAGCAGTGTCAGGCCACAGATCGGCTGGCTATATAGTATATAGCCGACGGCACCTGATCTGCCGCTCTCTGTGCGCCGCCAGCCCACTCTTTGTTTTTGTTTTGATCGCCGGACCATCAATACGAAGTTTGTTATTAATTATGATTACTGCTGGCGAACTAGATATGCCCGTGGGATGCACATGTATGGATATTCCCGGTCGATCAGTGCGTCCAAGCAAAACAAAAGCAGTGCTCCTATGTGTGTCAAGTGAGCTGCAGATATGGTTTTGAATTCCCGGAAAGTTATCTGTTCGGAAATGTTGTCTACCCTTTGGCTTGGCAACGCTCCACTTGCTCCATATGGTCGCTTGGAAAAGGTTGATAGCACATCGTTTTTGGACTGCTTGGGATGACCCCTTAGTGCTTTAATTCATTTCGTTCATATTCAACAAAAATAGCTGCGTGCAATTCACCCAAAGCGCCTTGTAATGTGCATTAAAATGTGACCCTGCTTGCGCTCTAATGTAGTTTTCCACCCATTTGGCTTGCACTAAAACCGCTTTCCCTCCGCGAACAGCTCATTTTCCTTGGCGCTCTGTGCCAGTTTCCAGTTTCCAGCTTACCCAGTCTATGCCACTGCCGCATCCTTTTTGGCTGGCAGCCCTTTGGAAATTAACATAAATTTAACGTGCGGCTGGCGTTTAAATTTACTTTCGCCTAATGAAATAATCAGAAGCTGTAAATCCTCATGGGCTGTAATGCCCCAGCCCCCAGTTTCCCCAGTTCCACCAGTTTTTGGCGGCCTACGTGTTTTACGCTAATTGATATTGCAAAAATCAAAGGCTGCGCGCCGGCATTAAAGGGATTTAAAGGATATCAACCGGTCTGAGGTCTGCGACTCAGGACTCGGGACTCTGGATTCCGGCATCCGGATTGTGGATTCTCAATTGTGGGATCTGGCTGTGAGTTCGACTCCGGCACTTTGCAATTACAGAAGGGTATTGCGACTCTGATTTCTGTGTACGAGTATATAGTATATTGTATCTAAGGATGTGTGGCCCAGTGGAGTGCCAAGGATAGCATAAATAGAACGCTGCAGGCAGTTATGGTATTTAGCCGTAGTGCCGGGTCCACTTACTTACAGATTCGTAGGTCAATATAAGCGTGCACTGGGGAAAATAGGAAGCGGAATAAAAATTATATTTAAGTTACGAGCACATTGTGCAGGATAAAAAACATTTTTGCGGTGGCATACAGAGATCCATAGGAGTATTTTACTCAATTTCATTTTAGTTTAGGAAGCCCACTATTTTTCCCCAGTGCTTTTGGCAATGTGCAACCACATCTATCTATCCGTATGTGTGCAAATAAATTTCACTGTGCAAATGTGTGTGTGTGCGCCGCAAGTATCATAACGGAAATTATGCATGCAATTTTACTGTAAATTGCACTCGGCAAATTTTGTTGTCACCTCAGTTTAATCAAACCCAGAACTCCAAACTCCCACTCACTTAAGCCGGACGTTTTGAAGCCGTTTGCAAGTATTTACGAGGCAAAGCCGAGGACTTAAAGCCGACAACCGGACGATATTATTGCCAAAGTGTCGTCGTTGTCCTGGCAGCAGTCAAATGAGCTAAGCGGTTGTCAGGCTATAAGTTCTGGTTGTATGGGTAAATACATCCATATAGAAGGGTCACTACGTTGCCCAGTAAGTCGGACTTGTCCTTATCAATCGCAGCTGAGCTGCTTGTTTTCATTGGATTAGACAAGTTTGCTTTGCCTTCGAGTTGTGAATCCACATCCGAATTCCGAATTACGAATTACGAATACCGAATTCCGAATTCCCAGTGCCTAGCCACTCAAAGAAAGAAGAACGATGTATATGCGGCTTACTGTTGTGGCAAATTAAATCGGTATCTGTATCTGTGTCTGTATCTGTGTCTGCACTTGTAGCGGCAACTTGTATCTTGTGTTTTTGTGTGCTGTGATTATGGCCATTTAATTTTGCCAGTCGGCATGCGAGTGTCTCTGCACAGAAGACCACATGTCAAATTTATAATCCCTCTGCTTACTATCGATTTGTGCCGGCCAAGTTTTATTTATTTCGTTAAGCAAAGCGGATTGCAGTTACTTTCGGCCAATGTGTGCACTAATTGAATCAATGGCGGTGTGAAAAGGACTTAGTTCGAAATTCAGCTTTGATTGCGAGCGCATTGATTAGTTTTATTAGACTAGACAAGAAACGGAAGTAGAAATGCTAGTGTATCCGCTTCCAACAGAGGAAACATCGATACCATCGTTGGTGTTAATTATATAAATAGTTCAAGGAGTCGGGAACAGGGAAAACTGGTTGTACGAGAGAATGCTGATAACCAAGCAAGTTGAGAGAAATTTAATTGAAGTCATTTATAACGCCAACCGCCGAGGGTTCAGCATTGTCCTGCTCAGCTTGGCATTCCCAATTAATTACACAATTTAGCCAAGAAGCGCTGCAAACTTGGCCGACAACTTTCTGCCAGAACGGGACGATGTGGGTGGCCTTCCTCCGGCTGCAGTGCCTCAAAGACAGTTTGCTTGCAACAGGTCAAAAGTTTCCTGCCAGCCTCCCAGTCTCGATTTTGGTCGGTGCTGGAAAGTTTTAATAAACTCACCAAAGACAATATTTTCCCAGTGTCCGTGCTGCCAGCCGACGGACGAGACCAGGACAATAATTTGATTTTGAGGGCAGCAGCGACACAGCCTGAAAGCAATTTGTTCCGTCCTGAGGAAAGCCATTTTTCGAATCGAGTGAAACGTGGCGAGCCGGTGAAAGGACACATATTAGACGCGCAGGACACCGCCGAGATTAAGTCAGATGCAAACGTAATCCAAAGACAAGCGAGTTAACTGGCTTGACCCAATTTAATTAGACGCCCGGCCCAAGGTGGCATTAGTATTAGTGTTATGTAGTACAGCCCCTGGTATTTGTCTTGTCCTCGCCACCAAAATTGAGCTATTCGGATGCCAGCCAGGATGTATGCCAAAAGCGAGGCTAATGCCATTGCCAGGACCTCGTTGCTCCGCCTGCCACAGATTCTACATGGAGAAAAATGCCCCAAGCACTTGGTTACCCATAACCCAATAACCATATGCCTGGGCATTCGAAAAACGTATTACCGATTCAAAACACTTGTCAATTAACCTATTCAGTCCTGCTGCAGCCAATTCGCTCTGCCCGAGTCACTTGGCGCAGTTGCAAGTGCGTGGTTTCCCCAAGTGTACCGACTAGCAAGCTGGCTTAGCACACCAGGCTGTGGACAGGAGCAGGAGTCCAACACACGAGTACATCCACGGGAACACACGACATTATTGTAGCGGAAGACAGCAGTCGGGCGGCTGAGCAGGAGCCAACAATTAGTGTTGACAGACATTGCACTCTGCCAAAGTCCCCGGGGCAATTTGAAGGCTTGTTCTACACACACGCACATTCGCACACTCGCACACTCGCACAGCTGTCAGTGGGTGTGCCACCCATACAGCCAAACACGCCCAATCCATGTACTCGCATATAATTTGAGTTCTCTCCGTGTCGTGTCAAACTGCTGCGAAATTTATGTTTAGTGCAAAGTGCCTACAGAGAGCCACACAGAAGACGGGCTTACCCGATAGCTTGGCTTGTACTACAGTGGGTATTACGACAAGTGCGACAGCCAAGGGTGATTAAGTATCCAGCGCAAATGGAGCACTTTTTCCTACAACCTCCCACCCCAGCCACTTGTTGTGCAGTAAAAACCATTGTGTGACCCCTTTTGTTGCTTTTAATCGCGGATGCAAGCAGCTGGAGCGGCGGGTGCTCCTTGTCCTGTTGTCCAGGCTGCACTCCAGGCTTCGCTTTCCAGCTGGCGCCTTCACGTGGATCCCTCACTGTGCCCTTTGGCCCCCTGGAGTTGATTGCTCACATCCAATCGGAAGTTGCCCATGAGGTTCCGCCCCAAGTGCTGCAGCGCTGCGTCGTTTGGATGCGCCGCCTGGCCAGCCATGATCATCCTCTCCAGCTGATCCTCCAGCACGAGCAGCTCCGTCACCCGCTCGAACTCAGTGGACTTCTTCCACAGCGACGCCAGGTTGATGCCCAAGTACGCAAGGCCTGCGAGCACGGGGCCCGACAAGAAAATCTGTATCTGAATCATATTGAAAATTTCCTCCATCTTGTTCCTTTTCTAACTGGTTTTTTTTAACTGTTTTTAGAAGCTGCAAACTGTTTTAGACTGCGCAAAGAACTTTCTGTTTGAGTGACATCAAATGACAGCTGCTAGAAAATCATGGCTTGCTATGAACGAGTATGATGCTATTTTAGGGCTACGTCGGCTTGGCCCTTTTGGCCTAGAGAAAAGTGGCAGCTGTTATTTAAAGTGCGAAAAGTGCATATCTGCAGCAATAATTAAGAGATTAAACAGCTTTCAATTTATAACCGCCTAAATGGATTAATTAAACTTGGCCAAGAAGTCAACATTATTAACATGTCCAAATTGCTGTACGCTCCAAAGGAGTCTGAGCAGCGAAATGTGGATGGTGGTGTGTGGTGGTGGCTGCCAGGGAGGAGGAGGAGGAGGAGGAGTGGGTGGCCGGTGGTCGCCCCGTCTTGCATATGCTAAACAATTTGGGGTTTTGATGCAGCTGCTCGCAACGACCTCAGGGGCAGCCGCAGTCAAAATCCGCCCGGCCACCCGGCCACCCGCCCACTCATTACCACAAGCAGCTGCATGTGCAAGTATGTTTAATAGCGATGGAAGCGGGGGTCGGGGCGTGTGGTGTTTCCGCCAAAAGGGCGGAGGGCAAATAATCCTTCACTCAAGCGATTGGCCAATTTGCGTGCATGTGTTTGCTGCCTAACCCATGTTAATGAAGTGCTATGTGGCGAACCGAAGTGTTTTTCCAAACCCGCTAAGATTTGTTCTCCACTTGCCAATAGGGGAATGGGTTTGTCCAAGCTGCCACACTTTTGATGTTGATAATTGGCCATATGTACCTTTGATTCCCAGTTCAGTTGATGGGGCATTGAGTCTTGGCTCAAAAGCCTAATGCTTGGGACTATGTCAATTTAACATTCAAATTGAAATAAACAGTGGCACAAGTATCTCGCTTGGAAAATTTACAAAACATGGTGCTTGCTGCAAAACAAAGTGGCACAAAAATGACATTACACAAAAGAGGATTTATTTAGTTTATTTGCAGCATATCAGCAGCCATAACTGTCAAGTGAGTGTAGCTATTGTTTTTGTTGTTGTGCTTGTTGGTGTAGGTGCTATTGCTGTTGTTGTAGCAGGGGGACTCGACATGGTGGGCGGGGCATTTCGTATGAGGGGTGCAAGATCTAGAGCAGCCATCATCATCAATCATTTTGATTTGCGCTAAAAACTATGCTATGCTTTGTTACTACAATGCTGCAATGCATAAACTCAACAACAGTACAACAACAGTACAACAACAGCACAACAACAGGCGCACAACTACACCAACACAAAAAACGTGTATATGTGGCATATACATATACAGCGACCGAAGACGATAAACTACAGTAGCAACAACAAGAAGGGCAATTGCCAGACAGAATGACAACAACATTTCATGTCGACAAGTTGCGCTGGCATTTCACTCTCCCTTTTTTTTGGTTTCTGCGCTGTTTTTTGCTTGCTACCCCTTTTTGTTGGCAGTATTTTCTGGTACTGTTATTATATTTTTATTTATTTGCTTTTTTGCATAATAATGTGGGGGCTTGCGAGAAGCGGCACTCTATGCCAGCATTAGGCGAACATTAATGGAGAAGAAGTATTTTTACTGCTCGCTCGTAAAGCTGCTTGTCAAATATATTTTGTGCATATATCGTGTTCTGTAGTTTTCGCAGGTTCCCCTTCCTAGTTTGCAGCCATCCTTCAGCGAAGGGAAAACATATACATATACAGATATATGTATGAGAGACATAATGAAATTTTAATTAAGCTCAAGCAGCAAGCAGAATTAAAAGACGAAATGTGCGCCTTTTAATTCAATTTATAATTACACTCGGCAGCCGGGTAGGTAGATCTTTCAGCCACTCTCCCCGTCTCTTTCTGTCGTCATCTCTTTCTCATCAAGTGTAGCCATCTCAGTCGTCTCTCATTCGCATTCGCATTCGCATCGCTGCGAATCAATTAAAAAGACATTTGCGAAAATGTTGCCAAGGCAAATTGAAACTGAAACGACAACACGAATGCTTAAATGAGCGAATAAACGAAGATGCGACTGAGACGGCAAGAAAGAGAGGGCTATTGCGGTGGTAGAGAGAGATGGGCATAGTAAGGTAGGGCGAAGGATGCGAATGAATGCATAAATGAATGCCACATTGCACGAATGAATGATGATTGTACCGCTGATGATGATGCCAGTACAAGTGTGAATCCTGTGCGACTCAAGACGTTGTTCCCGCTCCACCATTTAAAGGATATCTGCCAGGCTCTACCAGGTCCTCCCATTTGGCCAATCCCTCACCGTCTGCCATTACTGTAATTCAATAACCTTCATCTGGCCAGTTGGCCATGATGATGGTTGATTGTTTTTCACGCGATGCCAGAGCGCCTCGAAATTAATAATTGCCAAAGCGAAATGTGCGAGTGTCTTAAAATGGTATCCCTTAAATATGCAGGTAATGAACGGGTAAGCATACCATATTGCAAAATATAAATTTAATAGAATCGTCTGCTGCCATTGAAATGTACATAAATGCAGAGCCTAGCTTATTGCTTTAAAGACGGTGTGACTTTGTTGAGGATACATAAACATTTCGCTTGGAAGACCGCTTAATCTAGTTATTGGACAAACTCCGGCATTGGCAAATACGTTCAGATGACAATTGTCGCATAGCTGCATCTGTCCCATATGCTCCATGTGTGCCATTTATGAACATAATCCCCTTTGCCACATCGTCCAACCCACACCCACACCCACTTCCCACTCCCCTGGCAAACAGACATAAATCAAAAACTCAACGAAAACCTTCAAACGTTCAATATGAGAATGCCTTGGATTGTGGCCCCCAGCCATTTCTCATTTCTCAAAGAGATCCGATCCGTATCCCCAGTCCCCATTGCACTAATCTCATGCCATGCAGCTGTCCCCCTTTTCGCTTTCGCTGCAAACTTTCTAATAATTTCTATTTGAAAGCCCGGCCAAAGTTGTGCGTGGTGTGCAAAACTGTCATAATTCATAAGTCGCCCAAAAACCCCAGCCAAACCAAACCGAAACTGAAGCTCAAGCCCGAGCTGAAACTGAAACTGAATGGGAATGGGAATGGGAACGGGAATATCCGAATGGGTAGGGGCAGTGGAGCTCCTGCTGTCTGTGTATAATTACATGGTTCAACTGTCACGGCGGAAAACAAATAAATGAGTTTCGCTCGCAAAACTTTGTTCTTTGTGCAACTTCTGGCCATCGATCCGCAAGTATGGGAGTACCAAATGCAGTGGGAACCCAGCCACCAGTCACCAGCCACCAGCATCAGCACCATTACCAAATCGAACAGTCTGACCAACTCATCAATCAATCGATTGGGCGGCAAGCCATGTAAATTCTAAAGCGAATCAATATAAATGCCACCTGGCTGCTTGGCATTCAAAAATTAATTCAGATTGCAATTCCTTTGAATTATACGCATCAGCAAACTATGATTTCTCATGAAATATTAATGCCGGCATGCGACATTTGATATTTGGCGATGTGCGCTTTTGTTTTTGTGCCCCCATCGCTAGACATTGAATTGCACACGAAGAAAAAGAGCCAACCAAAATTAAGGTTTCTTATGTGAAATGTGTGTTTCTGGAATAACCTACGGACCGTGGCTAAACTTTACTAATAATATTCATTACAAATGCTTTGTGTTCAAATTGCAGTTAATTGCAGTTATTGGCCCCGCCTTTGGCCTTCTCTCGCAGTGTACCCAAAAGGGCCGTGACCAACTTCGTTATCATTGTCAACATGCCATGCCGTTGAGTGCCGAGTCTCGAGACCCAAGCCCCCATTCCCCATTCCCCACCCCCCAATCCCCAATCCCGATTCTCAATTCTCCAATCTCGAGTCCTTCTCCCTCGCCGCCGCATAATCAGAGCAATTTCAAAGTTGCGTCTGTCAGAAAGGCACAAAATGTGGCCTTCCATTCCATACTTGCCTCCATACTGATTTTCGCACCACCACCACTACTTTTTGGGTGGCGGAATTTTTTTCTTCCTTTTGGTGGCCTTTTTGTTGGCACTTCCTTTTTGACACCGGCGTTCCGCTACGTTTCACGGCTGCCATTTCACCTGGCTCTTCACGTCGCACGACCTCGTCGCCCATCGTGTCTATCAATGCCCGGGCGATTGTCCTCGCACAATCCGCTTGTCAGCCGGAAAATGTGAATTTATCACACGAGCACGTACGCATATTCCCCCGCTGTCCTTTTTCGCCAGGAGCCATCCGGATGGGTTGGGCTGGGTTGGGTGTGCAGTGTCCGCCCCTCGGCTCACATTCGTCCAGATTAGTTAATATTCGCATTTGAATATGAGCAGGCGCTTATCTGGACCGGAGCACACGGACATCATCCAGTGTGAATGTCGCTTGGCGCCTCTCTATGCGCTTCTCAAAAAGTCCAGCTAAGCGGGCGAAAATCGCAGCGTGTCTTAATTGCATCCTGCAGCTGCTGGCAAATTCACTTCTGCCACAATTAAGAGCCAATTTCAGAGCTAGCAGCCCCAAGGGGTTTCCTAATCAGCGCGACAGGAGGATGTTGCGGTTGTCGGCCAATGTCGCCAATGTCGCCAGCACTCGCTTTTTGGGGCATCCCATCTCTGCTTTGTTTCCGCCACGGGGCTACTTAAATGCCAGACTCCCGAGCTGAAAAGGGCCAGAACTGTGCCAACTGTGTTGCTCTTGCTTTTAGCTGGTGCATCTGAGGATAAAGGCAACTAAGAATGGGCGGTGAAATGTTCCAAGGACTTAATTAATAGCTTACCAAACACTGTTGTCTTTTTATATGAATAAAATTATTATTAATCGCAAACAAACAATTTATTTGACTTGTACTCGCTGTGTATTGCCGTGAAACTCATCCCAGAACCTCCGATTGCCCTTTAATTGATTTCTGTGATGACCAGCAGGGGATCGCCATCGTCGGCAAAAAGATTCGGATTCGGATCGCTTTGGCGGTAAAAATGCGGCGGCAAGTTCGGCTCCTCTTTTCTGAAAGGGATCTGCGGCATCTCGTGGGACTGACTAGTCGGAATGGGCACCCAAACGTAGTGGCGTGCCTGCAGGACATCCTGCCTGTGCATTCGATTGGCCCTGCAAATGTGGCCAATGCTGGTGTCGTACTTTAAGGCCAGACGAGTCATCGTGTCCTCGGCGCAGATCGAATGCCTCATCCAGCACTCGGACCGCATTCGATGGCAGTTACAGATATTGGGACCTTGATCTTCCGCCAGGCTGGTCATAACTTCGAATTCTACGGCTGGAGAGAAAGGACAAGCAATTGTTTTTACACCCGATTTGTAGGTACTCGTGTTTTTTGGATTTTTTTAGGACTGCGGCAACGCCTACCTGGCTTCTGGCTTCATTATATTCGCGTACTCGGCTGGATATTCGCACCTCCTTTGATGCCGATCATCTGTGTCAACGAATGTCTGTCTGCGGGCGTCCGATTCGCGGTTTATGCAAATTACTTGGCGTACATATCGTCGCCACTGCGTCGTAATCAACTCATGGGCCATCGCTGCGTATACGTAATCAACTCAGCTGACGCGTCGTGTGTGAGCGCATAATACGCCCTGTTGGCAGGGAGGGAATGGGAAATGGACGGACGAGGATGCTGCACTCCGTCCGGGTCAGCCGCAAAGGTGTCGTCATCTTCGTCATCATTTTTTTTCCTCTTTTTTGGTCCTGCTTAAGCCGCCTTGCTTATAATCCCTTCTGCGCCAGCCGTGTTTCACGCAATTCCTGCCGGGATAATGCCGTGTACTCGGCGAAAATTGGGAATAATTTACGGATTAGTCATGGAGTTGGTTAATGCGCGCTACGTTTATTACAACGTTCGTACTTTAATGGCTGCACAACGGGTAACAGATGAAATTGAAATGGATTGCAGTTGGTTTTCAGGCATAAATAACTAACCTTTTTCGTCATTTTCGAGGCAGTCCCCAAACAGCAAACACAGACCTAGCTCATAAATTGGAAAGGCATACAGTCACCCCTAGTTGAATCTGTCTTCACTTCCGCAACGAATTGGATTTGTTTACTCCACTTTGCATTGGATGAGGCCCAATTTGATTTCGGCAAAACAGCAAAACAGCCTACGCAAAAAAGAAACCCCTTGTATTCGATATCGTGTATATCCCCCGTAATTCCAGCCATATTCATTCGTTTGTCAATGGCTTCATTTGCCTGCCGTAAGATATGCGAAATTGATATGGATGACAAAATCGAGCGGGAAAGGATTCGCCCCAATTGCTGGCTGGGCCTCCAAGTATCGGATTGCTTCCGTTTCGAGGTAATCTAGTGTGAAGTCGTTTGACTGGATGAATTTAATATGGCCTTAAACGAAGCTGGCTGTTCTTTTGTGCCCGTAATTGCAAAAGAAAACGAGTTTACAATTGCAATACGTATGTTGGCAGCTTTAAAAACACTACTGAAATATAATTCAGTCAAAATTCAATCTGGATCCTATTAGCATTCGCTTAGGCATCAAATGAGCTAGCCAAGTCGTACAAGTACATAAATCATTTAAAAATGTGGTTAGTCTAGAGATCAGGAGTAATACCTCAAATGCCACAGATTGCCGCACATCCGCTTGCCACCCAAAACGAAGGCGAGCAATCTCGAAATGGCCGATGCCAAAGGAGTCAGCAATCGGAATCGCAGTGACCCAGAGGCCAAGACGGAGCGATACACCTCGGATGGCCAGATTCCCAGGTGCCGAAAGACCCGATTCTTCGTCGTACTGATGCTCTTCACGGGAATGGCCAATGCCTATGTGATGCGCACAAATATGTCGGTGGCGATTGTTGCCATGGTCAACCACACGGCCATCTCGGATGCCAAGCCGTCGACCCAGTCGAATGAACGGGACGGCGACTTCGAGTGGAGCCACAAGCTGCAGGGCTACATCCTCTCCAGCTTCTTCTACGGCTATGTTATCACCCAAATACCCTTTGGCCTGATGATCAAGTACTACGGCGCACGGCACTTCCTCGGCTGGGGCATGATGGTCAACTCGCTGGCCGCCTTCTTCATACCGATCTCGGCGAGATCGGGTGGCGCCGTCGCCCTGTGCGTGGTGCGCTTTATCCAGGGCCTGGGCGAGGGACCCATTGTGCCCTGCTCCCACTCCCTGCTGGCCCAGTGGGTTCCGCCGGACGAGAGATCGCTGGCCGGTGCAGCGGTCTACGCGGGCGCCCAGTTCGGCACCATAGTGTCGATGCCATTGAGTGGCCTGCTGGCCCACTACGGTTTCGATGGCGGCTGGCCGTCGATCTTCTACGTCTTCGGGCTGATCAGCGCCATCTGGTGCGTCGTCTTCATCTGGCTGGTGCAGGAGAGTCCGGCCGTGAGCACCCGCATCTCGGAGGCGGAGCGGCGGCACATCATCGAGGCCATTTGGCAGGCGCAGCCGCAGCCGGAGGAAAGGGGCGGAACTCCATTTCCGGGCATTGCCAAATCGCCACCCTTCTATGCCATTCTGGTGGCCCATGCCGGGCAGAACTACGGCTACGAAACGCTGATGACCATGCTGCCCACCTACATGTACAGAGTTCTCGATGTGAGCATCCGGGCGAACGGAATGATATCCTCGCTGCCCTACCTGGCCATGTGGATTCTGGCCATTGTGTTTGGCGTCGTGGCGGATTGCCTCATCCGCAGGAGCTGCTCCATCACCGCTGTCCGCAAGCTGATGAACAGTCTGGGCCAGTACGGACCAGCCTTGGCCCTAATCTGCGTTGGCTTTGTGCAGCACAGCCTCTGGCTGACCTGTGTGATTTTCATCATGGGCATGGGACTCAACGGCGCCATCTACAGTGGCTTCAAGATCAATCACCTGGACCTGTCGCCGCGCTTCGCCGGCCTGCTAATCTCCATAACGAATTGCGTGGCCAACTTGGTGGGTCTGCTGGCGCCCATGGTGGCCGGTCATGTGATCGATCCCAGGCCCAGCGTCGAGAACTGGAGGATTGTGTTTTATATAGCCGCCGGCATATTTATTTTCACCGCCAGCTTCTACAACGTATTTGCCAGCGGCAAGCTGCAATGGTAAACGCGTTAATAAACTCGTTAGGAAGCGGACGAAATGTTGGACAAAAAGTCACATGTAGTAATCCAAACCAGAACAGACAATCTGCTGCAGAATAGCCACAGACATAGAAACTGAAACTGAAACTAAAACCGAACGGCGGCCATCGGGACATCAATCAAATGGCCGCATGTCCTTTGGCCTGGTCGGCCATTTAATTTCGCATTTGTGCCATTTATTTTATGGCACATTTCTGGTCCTAATTAGCAGGGAGCGGATGGTCACTTGTCCTCGTCATGGTTTTGGCCAAACATTCGCCAGCAAACCTAAAATTGTCAGGCCATCAACAGGGCGCTTGTAAATGAACAATGATTTATACGAAACTCGGACATTTTTGGCTCGTGTTTGGCAGCAACATCAAATGCCTGCCTATGACCTTTTTTAAATGTTACCATAGTAAATGGGACTTTACCCATAATTCATTGTACTTCTTTCCACATTTGTGTAGCTTTATGTACTCGTACATAAGATAAACGTGTCTGGCTTTTGATAGCCGCCGTTGTTAGAAGGATTTAACTGGCTTTAAGCGGGATTATGTGCGCATCACCTTCGATTTCCGTGGACCTTTTAGCTGCTCCAGTTAATCTGTGACTCGTAATCCATTAAGCTTTTCAATTTCGCCCCTGTCAGACACTCGCAGCCACCCATACCCATACCCATACCCATGCCCAAATCGGGTTAAACACGGTCGCCGATGTCTCCATCATCCGTTGGCCAAATGGGGGCGGATACGCAGGAGGCGGTGGCAAAGCGTTCCGGCAAGTTTAAGCAGCTTAAGTTTCATTGCAACAATAATTTGCGTGCGATAGCAGCAGCGAGAGCCATACGGGCGCAGGAATACATACACAGGTGCACGGGTGCCCACAGATACTCACCTGCACGCCCACAGACACCTGGCCACAGAATGTTCGCCACTCTTGTAATAACCGGCGAGGACGAGCACAAGGACACCGGGTGGGCTGGGTTCGAACGGGCGCCATTCCAGCTCCTGACTGCTGCCAAAGTTGGCCAGAATGTTAACTTGTCTGCACGTTTCGTTTTGTCGCCAGTGAAGCGACTAGATAGGGCGGGACATGTAATTGGGTTTTCACTTGATTCAACATGCGCCAAAATGTCAAAGTGCACCGCAAGTTTCCTCGTCTATTTCCCAGCTGCGGCTGCGGCTGCTGCTCCTTTTTCCAGTGGCTTTCTGCCGCTCCCCCGATTTTTGTTCGCATTTGGATTTTGTGTGCCAACTCCTAGTGCAGTTCGCATTTGCAGTTCGACTCGAACTCGGATTCGGATTCAGGTGACGCTGAAAACTGGCAACACAGCATGGAGCAAAAGCCAAACAATTGTCAACTCGGACGACTTGCAAAATCTCCCAGGAGCGGAGGTATCTATGTGTATGGTTATGGCAATTGATTAGCGTAGTAATTTCCACAGTCCCTCTTTGGGTCAGCAAAATGCGAATATTCGCCTTCAATATTAATGAAAGAACTACAAAAATACCTGTAAAGTTTTGTTTACTTTGTATTAAATGCATGGTATTGCTATTTGAAAACCGCTTAAAAGGAATTATCCCATAGATTTGCGTGATGCAAAGTATTTTGAAATTGAAACGATGTATTTTATTGAGCATTTTTATGCAGAGACCAAATAGCGAGGGGCTACTGTAGCCGGAAATCCGCTGCGCTGCTGTTCAGCTGCAAATCCCCGGCCGCGGATTGAATGTTTTCATTATTTGGCTTTCACATACACACTGGTATATGCATATCGGTATAAACATCTGTATATCCCCAGCTGAATGGCGACTGTAATCGGTTTTTGGCATTTGCTTTGCTGGACGCCATTATTTTCGGTGCAACAATGCGCTAATTAGGCGTCGATTCCCAAATACCGTCGCTAATTCCATGCCCCCCAGCATATTGGCAGAACCGCCGCATGGAACGCGAGCCGGAGCTTAAAAAAGACTCATTTGGCTAATTAAATGTCATAATTCCAGCATTTTGTAAGCGGCCTTTGGAATTTGGCATGTCCGCATTTTGGTCTCCCTCGAATGCTAATCCAATCCAGCAAAAATAATTGCAGTGCATTGCGGCCCAGCCTCTGAAAATTTGTAATAACCGTCAGTTTTGTAATTCCTTCTTTAGTTCTGGGCACACACTCACTTCCGAGCAACTCGAACGGCATTCAAATCAGAAACAGAACCCCGAATAACCTGCCTTCCTGCGACTCCGATGTTTACGCTTCGATATTGAAAAGTTACGATAATGCGACTGGCTCCATGGCTTCGATTCCTGTCTTCGATTTGTGGCTCTCGAGTGCAGCCCGCTCAAGTGGGCGTGGCCGCACCCTGGACTCAGATTCAGATTCGGACTCGGATTCAGAGGCTGCTCGTTATGGGTGCAGAGAGGAAAAAGTGGGGGTAGGTGGTGACTTGCGCGTATTTTGAAAACATATTTTCAAAAGAGCCCTGTGAGTACATGCACAGCACAAGGACATTTTTAGGAGAAATATGTGTAATACCCATTCAATCGTATTGCTCTAACTCACCTGACTACACAAAATATTTTCTCGCAGTCTGCAGCCCTTGTGTGTCTGTGCTTTTGACAAATAAGCAATTTATAAATCATTTTTATTTCCACTCCTGGAGCACTCCACTTGCGTATTTAGAACCCACATGTCCAGAGTTCGTTTATTGATTTTGCCAATCTGTTTGTTTTAGCTATACGTACAAGGTTTGGTCGGAATATTTCCTTTTACTACTTGTTTGAAAACCGAAATAGCACATGTATGCAAAAACCAAAACGAAACACTTAGCTCGCGAGCCAAATTCCAATCGTATGTATAGTTTTGGGTATTTAAATGGCTGGCCGAAATTGGATAGGGATAACAATGTGGCAGGCCACTGGTCAATTGCCCGGGCAAGTCATCCATAAAAAATGAATATTTTTTCATGCCAAAGAGCCACTAAGCCGAGTCCACACTAAGTCCCACTAACAAGCCCGACCACTCGGACTACCAAAAACGCATCCCATCGCTGGCATGGGAACCGCAGACTGCGGACTTCGAGCATTGAAGCCTTGTAACCAAAGGCAATAGCTTAACCATTGATTTGGTTAATGGCCCAGGCGTCGGGGGTCAAAGGTGAACGGGCAGTTATCCAAAGCGAAGCCAAACGACTCCCCGCTGTCCCATTTCAGTTGCGCGTGACAGATGTCAATGCTGGCCGCATAAATGGATGCATTCAGCAGGTAGCTAAGGCACATAAATATGAGCATTGCATTCTCAGCAGGTCGAATAGATATAGATATAGATACAGATATATAGGTAGGCAATGTAGGCAATGCAAGCATGCGTTTATTTAACAGATACTCGTGCATTTAAGGTGTTATGTGCCGTTTCGAATTCATTAAGACATTTAATATTTTACCAGGGATTTGCGCAATAAAGTGCTGATTGTATGTAGCGAAGTGAAATAAATGCGAGACAAGTGCGCAGAAATGCCGACAAAATTGTGCAAAATTGTTGCAAAGACCAACATTATTTTATTGCAAATTGCCATAGATAGCGCAGTGTGAAAAATGGCAAATGCAATGGATTTGTTGGGAAATTCGAATTTAAAGGCGGCCCTCGCCTGCTATTTGCTCATTTTCTGGGAAATCTCGTTAGTGAAAATGATACTCAACCGCAGGCGGGTGCACACACACACACGCACACTCACACACACACGCACACATACAGATGCAGATGCAAATGCGGGGGATTCGTGGATGTGACGGCTGCCACTGGAATGCAACAACTGCGGCACCGGAAGTGCACTTATGCCGCGCACTTCTATTTCCGCTGCTGTTTCAGTTCGCAGTTTGCCGTTTGGCGATAAAGATTGATGTCGGCCGTAGGTCAAAGTTCAGCCACAGAACTCGCCCGAAAACCGAAAACCGAACTACCGAACTGCCGATTCCCACCATCCACCACCTAATTTGGCCATAATTCGTTGCAATCGATAGATCACCGACGGCTAATTCTTCGCGTCAGGCATGCATCTGCACTATTTGCCAATTAAATGCTAATAAAACATTGCTTGATTAGTTACTCAACAACAACAATCGTGGATTTTGCAGGCCCGTTGTGATGATATACAGTTCCATTGAGTCCCATGATTGATGGCACGGCTTATTTATAGGCTGGTTAATTGAAGGTGTGCCAGTTCCAAATGAATAAGCGTGTATTGCACTTGATTGATTGACGAACTCAGTGTTGACCCAAATCTGTAGCGTAATTAACTGCGATTTTCAGGAGTCTAAGTGCAAATGATTAGCACTGAAAATGCGCTTTCATTTCCACATTTTTGTGAATTGTGTAAGTAGTGCGCTTTGTGCGAGTAGAAGAGCCAAGAAGAAGCCAGAGACACAGTTCTTAAACTCGTTTTGCTCGATTAAGATTCCAGTCGGAGTTGTGATGTGCGATTCGATTGATGGATTGATAAACCGAGCGATTGACAGTTGGCCATTCAGCCAGCCAGCGAAGCGGAGTTTGTCACTCAGTTTTCCATCGAATGCCGACACGTCGCCAACACATTTGCCAAGCTTGATGGGTGAAATGTGGGTGGTTGTGCACCCTGGTGACGGGTGGGAAAGTGCTGGAAAATGCTGGAAAATGCCACGTGTGTCTAGTGATGTGTCGCCATGCGATTTGAAAATATTTGCCAGCGTCGAGGCGAAAATTGTAAATAATAATAAACAGTTTATAGGCGCGGCGTTGACAACGATATCCCGATGATGGCAACAATGGGAACTACACAGACACACGCATGCTGTGCATGTGGGACTTAAGAGTCATCACCACCCACCGGCGGACCTCCCACCCACCCCACTTGGAAGAAAGGCACGGAAGGACAACAAAAGCTAAAGCCGCACACGGTTGTTGTTGCCTTAAGTAATCCGATTTCAAATGCACCAAATACATAATACACCCGCACAATCGCATTCGCATACGATCACGTCGACTTTCCCTACCTACCCGCCCCATTCCTTTCCTTCCTTTCCCCACACTGGCTTTCCCACACTACGCAAAATTACGCATAAACGGAAGCGACAATATATTGGAGTCTTTAAAAGCAAGCTGCACGGCATCTTTTAGCCACCTCCGTGAAATGTATCAAAAAATGTTTAGCTAGTGAACGTGGAGGTGGTAAAAGCGGAGAAACACATACATTAGACTATGGAAACACTACGAGTGCCAATGAAGATTAGGCATGAGCATTAGTAATTTTTTATGGTGCATTGCCTTACTTAACACCCCCACTCCCATTTTCCTCACGTTTATCCCTTCACAATTCGCATTTGTCCTCAGTGCTGCTGGTGTTGTTAGTGTTGGATAACG